GGTGATTGACTTAAAGGACTGTTTGCTACATGCCATTTCTGAGGAGAACGTTCAAGCTGTGGAGCTAATCCTACAGGCTCAAAGTGAACGCCAACAACGAAAGAACCTAAAAGCAAGTGTTTATGCCTAAAAGGTCTTTAAAATGCTTCAATTTAACTTTTTCTTCCTATTAGCGGCCAAACATACCACAAAAGATTAGACTCTGTGCATAGCCACTTTCCCATTTGTGTTCACTTAATGCCTACATGATCCGAGAGATCATCACCCTAATCTACAAAGTCAATTACTGTCAACTGAATCATCTTCTTCCTGATAGCTCTGAAGAGTCTTTACAAATTACAAAATTATTCCAGACCCCAAACACTACTCCGAGCTTACAGCATTGCTTGCAGAAAGTGTACAGGCTCGAGATAATCCTCACCTGTCATCTGGTCATGTTTTCACTTAAACAGGGACTCCTAGGCCATGTAGAGTCATCAATCTTCACTCCCGATATCACACCTCTGATATTAGCAGCTCATCGCGATAACTACGCGATCATCAAGATCCTCATTGACCGAGGCAACAAGATTACCAAGCCCCACGAATTGCGATGTGCCTGCAACGCCTGTGTGCAGGCCAGCAGGGAAGACAGTCTGCAGCACTCAAAACTGCGTATTAACGCCTATCGGGCTCTATCGAGTCCCTGTTTCATTGCTTTATCCAGCACTGATCCTATTCTTACCGCCTTTGAACTCAGCTGGGAGACTAGGAGACTGGGTCGTCTGGAGAACGAGTTTAAGGTTTGATGTGTTCGATTGCTTAACGCTCAAATTGGCTTCTTGTTTCTAATACCCTATTTTCCCATGTCGCTCTGAACGAGGTTAAATGCTCCTCCCCGTCCTAAATTCACAGTTTGTCTGCTTTCTCTGTAGTTTTTGTCCATCGGGAAACAGTGGACCATCGCCAAATCTGATAAACTCAGGAGTTTTCATGTTGATTGAGTCTAGTCTCCGATCACTTAAGGTTTCCCTGTTATTTTCTCCTTGCTCACTTTAGGAGGACTATGAAAAGCTATCCCAAAATTGTGAGGCTTTTGCTACCGCCTTGCTGGCGCAAACACGAGGCTCCACGGAGTTGGCTATTGTTCTCAATCATGATTCTGGCAGTAGCAAAAACGAGGACACTATGCTCTACGGTGTTCGCAGTGACTCCACCGGACAGACAATGCAACTCTCGCGTCTCCGACTAGCTATAAAATACAAGCAAAAGCAGGTACCGTATCACAGCCACTAATAATCTTCTTCATGTCCTTTATCACGGATAATCTGCATTTGTAGTAGTTGGGCAAGGTCAGTCGAATTGAAGCAGGTGGAAAACACCTTCTAGTTAACAGAACTGAGTAAAAGGCAGGACATATTGGCGGTAAAGAATAGGCAAAATGTTATGCTCGTACTTGTGACGGTTGTATGAACAAGCAAGTATCCGTGCTTTTAGGTTAAGTCATGGTGAAATTTGTCACTTTTGATGCTATCAAATCTTAAGCAGAACCGTATGCGTGTTTGGCCGGAGAGTTGTTTACATTTGGCGATTGAAACGACTTTTTAAGGCACAACTACCACGTCATCACGTGAGTAAAAAAATACATTAATTTTGAGAATACACATTGTTGTAGCATCATATCATAGAAGTGGAGGAGAAAACAGGCATTTGTGGGTGTTTTTGCGTACTCCAATGGATATGCCATCCTTAATTGACACATCAAATTAAGAGAGGGGGTTAACCATCGTCCTCCGATTATCCACCAGCTTTCGCCATCACACCGTAGTCCGCGATGCAAGAACACCACCTAAGAATCAATTAAGAGGGCATCGAAAGGACAACTTTACTGATCCTTGTTCTATGATCACAACCCATTGTCTTCACCATCATTCCCCAGACTTCTTACTCGAATTGGGGTCATTTTCTCATCCCAGAGCTGACTTATCACACAACCTTACCTGGAGCTAATCAAATCATTAGAGAGGCAAAGAACGGATCTTATATGGGCTTGATTGATAAACCTATGCAGGCACCGTGGACAGCTCTCCTGCAAAACACGGAACTAGGGTGGTCTCTGAAGGTAGACACCTATCTTATGTCATGTCGATGTTAAGCATTCAACAATGCATATTGGAGAGTTGCTTTTGAGGATGGAATTCACATTATCGTCACTTACAGTGCAGCTTCATGGCATCTCTTAAAATAAAAAAATACTAATAATACTACTAGCGCAGAACGAGCGATTCCGAGAGGCAGTTCGTTAAAGCCGAGTGGACAAATCATCAACATAACCAAAAAAATAGTAATGGTTTTGCAATTATCATTTAAAAGTAGTTAAATAGAGCATTCAAAGAAGCTTGAACAAATCAAAACACTTGACTTGATTGGTTCAATTTTGCTTTTAGGTTGACACCTTAAGTGGCTTCCCTTCCACCTTCCTTCCACAGGCAGAGAATTACTGCCTGTGGAAATGAAGGGTAACATTAGAAAATGGACAACGAAATAACAGGGTGAAGTTGTTTTTACTAAGTACCCACTAAAAAAATGTGCTGCGTATTCTCGTACGATTATTGGCCTCCTTAGATCATGCATCATTAGTTGACAATAAATTATGAAGTACCTATTCTGCATCATTTGATAGTAAGGATTTTAGTTAAGCAAAAAAGTTCTTTTCGACAGTTTGTGGCGCATCCACATTGCCAGCAACTACTGGCTTCTCTGTGGTACGATGGGTTGCCTGGCTTTCGTCGCAAACCCTTTGTCGTGCAGGCGGCCATCATTTTCCTCATTGGTCTCCTCTACCCTGTGCTCTCCCTCTGCTGTCTCCTCGCACCGGACTCGCGTTGGGGCAACATGCTACGAAAGCCCTTCATCAAGTTCATCTGTCAGAGCAGCGCCTACATCTCATTTTTGAGTAGGATTTGCCATTTCTCCTTCTCCTCCTCCTCCTCCTCCCTCTCCTCCTCTCATTCTACTCTCTCCTAGCCACCAACCCCACCCTCTCTCCTCTCCCCGGCTTCCCATCCCCACACCTCTCCTGCTTTCGCCATTTGCGCGCCCCTTGAGAGGTGTTGGTGGTGATGTGTGAGGTGGTGGTTGGAAGGCCTTCCACGAGAGCAGATGTCATGGTAGCGTGCAATGGAGAATGCTGGAGGCGTGCGAGTGAAGGTGGATGCGATGTGCTCACGAGAGGACGGAGGAAGTGGTTTGGTGATTGTGTGCAATCCTTGCTGCCGCACAAGTGTGCCTATTGGAGGTGTGGAGCGTTGGGAAGGCTGTGGCATGAGAGGTCAATTGATTAGGGTGGTAGTAGGTAGTAGGTGGAGGGAGGTGACATGTGTGGTGTGAAGGTGGAGAGGGTGTGGAGTAAGGTGAGGTGAGGTGAGGTGAGGTGAAGTGGAGTGAAGTGAGTAGTCACGGTGAGGGATGGTGTGGGTGAATGAGACAACTCACTGCTCGAGTGGATCCGA